CCCCAAAACCCCAAAACCCCAAAACCCCAAAACCCCTCTATTTTTTATTATGTTTGAAATAAAATATAATTTTAAAAAGTAAGCTGAAGGATGAAAGACTAGTTTAAAATGCTAAACTGGTCTATTTGGTTCAAAATTTACTATTTTTCTTACAAATCTCAGGTGATTTTATAGAGAATTTCGATGCTAGGCCAGAGAGACATAGTCATTCATAGATCCAAACACTGATTGATTCTTAAGGATACTGAAGAAGAAAAGAAGAGGAAGCTAGAGAAAGAGCAGAAATAAGCAGGTAAGAGTAGTCCTCACCTGATTTTGACCAAATTTTATAGCAGAGAATCAATAGTCTGAACTCGCAATTGTATAAAGCAGGCCAACCACTCCAACAATTTGAGAATATTGTGCCTGTTATAGAAGGAGTTAAATAAAATATTCCCAACGATTGATGGAAAGATTAATACTGACACAATAAGAAATATAAAACAGTTGAAAACGAATAGAAAGGCTTTCATTGATGGACCTCCCCCAAGAAGAGTCATGAATATTCTGAGACAGACCAAACCAGTCTTTGATGAATATAAAAATACTAACAACGACCAATACAAGGAGCTGAGGAAAACAAGCAACTTCATGCCTGATTTATCAGCTATGATAGGCGAGAAAAAGGCAGAGGAAGAAGTGAAAGAGACTAGTGGGGAGAGAGTTAATATTCAAAGGCTTAATACACCTACTTTAAGAATGGCACTTGCTTATGACTCATCTCAAGCATTGAAGGATGAAATAAATGAGAGTTATATGAGAGTTAAGGCTGCTAAGCATGGAGTAAGGTTAACGGATATTGTTCCTGAGCATGACATAAATTTTTATTTGCCTAATAAGTTAAACTATGTCAAACCAAAGGAGTATCAAAAGGTGAAACAGAGAGAGCAAATTTCATCAAAACACTCATCTCGCCATGAAAATTCTAACACTTTCCTTACATCTCTAAACCGTTCACAAGTTCCACAAAGACCAAAGAAATTGGGTATAAAGTCAGTTCAATGAGAGCCTGGGAGGTACATTCAACTTCACCTTTGATATCTTTGACATATCTCTAAACTGGTATTTTTACCTGAATATTGTGCTTTACAATAAATTAAGAATTAATCCTACTTTAATCAAAAGCATCTTTCAAAGTCATATGAAAGCAATAGCAGTTTAAACAATGCATAGTATAACTTTTGTAATTTTAGTCAGTTCATCAAGCCAGGCCATGCACCACAAAGATCTGCACAATTCCCCAAATTTGGCAATCCTGAGACCTCGAAGAACTCCCTCAACAAGTTCAGAAACACTCTTCTTGGCAACACTGGACGCACCCTCTCACAAAGAAACAACAACTCTGCTGTCAACTCTCCAGCCGGCCACAAACTCAACACCAGTCCCCAGGCTGCACGGAGGCTGAACGGAGTCAGCTACAGATTCTCCAAAGACAAGGCCACTTCAATGATCGACCAGAGACGCAAAATCAGGCTTGTCTCTCTCATCGACTCGAAGCCGATCAACCACTACATCACGCTTCTGAGTCTGAAAGAGTACTCCAAGCGAGAGCAAGACATGGGCAGCCTTGCCGGGTCCATCCAGGCTTCGGTCGGTCTCAAAGAAAAGGAGAGTCAGAAGAAGCGAGACATCACCAAGATCCTCCGAGAGGACCTCAACCAACAATACGAAGAGAAGATCGGCCGCAGGTATGCCAGCATGATCGAGAGTCGCAGAGCCGCCGCCAATGCAGCAGGGCCTGACCACCTGGAGATCCGCAAGAACGACCTGGATGATGAGTCTGTGTCTGAGAACAAGTCTGAGCAGTCTAACAGCGGACGGAAAGTGAGGAAGATGAGCAAGATGAGCGTGGGGGCGGAGAACGAGCGGGAGAGGCTATCAGGCAAGAACAAGAACTACGAGTGGAATGAGAAGACAAAGCATTTACTCAATCCTGACTTTGCAAAGATAGTAGAAGACAAAGTTAAGCGACAAATCGTTGAGCTATACGAATACCACAATAACAGAATGCAAGACCAACAAGAACAAGATACTGGGATAGACAACAAAATAGAAAGTGAAGAGCAAGCTAAGAGAATCGCTCAATTAAAAAGAGATCAAGAGCTTGCTGAATTTGAAGAGAAAGGTGGTCTTTCAAGAATTTTGACTAACTTATTTAATCCTAAAGACGAAAGTATTGAGCTGGATTCTGTCTATCAACTTAAGCAGATTTGTAAGTCCTATTATGAGACTAAAAACAAGATATCTAAAGATTTATTGGAAACTTTGGATGCCTTACTTAATGAAAGACCTCATTCTATTGCAATGAAGAAGAAAGGGCTCTATCGTGAGACAGATGAGAACCAGGGAGAGGACGTTATTCTTGGAAAGATGCACAAGAATTATTACCTTGACATAGAATGAATGAGACTGAATGCTGAGAAAGAGAGAATCAGCCATTACAAAGACATCGCTTGTCAGAGTGCTATAAAGTATTACAAGGTACTAAAAGATATCATCAAGGAGAGTTTAATACACGCGGTGGGACCAAAATCCTCTCCTGATAAAAAGGCTACAGGAGTTCCCACAACTAAAGAGTTGAAATCTGGTCAGCCTAACTTCTATCAACAAAAGGAGACCAAAGTGAATTGAATCTACTACATCACAGATTACCTAAAGTCTGTTATAGAGAATGGTAAAAATTTTGAGACAAATCATATCTACTGAATACTTGACTCTCTGATCGTCGAAGAGCTTAGCAATGAGGTAATCAAAGTCATCAAAATAATTATCAGAGAATTCGAACTCAATAAGAAAGAAATCCGTAAGTGGATTGAGACCTGTAACCCCGTCAAGAAGAAACGAACAAAGCTGTTGAATATTTTGTAGGCTTTCAATAACTCTTTGAATAAAAGGGGTTTTGGGGTTTTGGGGTTTTGGGGTTTTGGGGTTTTGGGGTTTTGGGGTTTTGGGGTTTTGGGG